TCATACGATTCCGACAATGAAACACGGTGGTGGCGGTCTCATGTTGCAGGGCTGAAAGGTTTTGCCAAAAATCATAATTCCAATTTCATTTTAATCTTTACGTTAACAATGAAAGCTTTTTATAACATTGATAGTTTGCTTTTCCAGAGTCCATAGTTGCAGAATTTTACTGGTACTGTTGTGTGGGAAAAGCACCGTCGCTACCCGATCCGTTACGGAAGCATGATCCGTACCATCGGCTCATTTCCGCATGTGCAAGCAGATATTCATCCACGCCGCCATAAATAATGTAATCATGGTTATAAAATTATTTCTATCCTTAAATCACTAAAGAATGCGAATAAAGTAAAAAATAAAATTGTTTTATTACTTTTCTGAGACATTTCGAATGTTTTTTTCATTTTATCCGTTAAACTGGTCTTCTGACAATATCATCGGACATGCTCAGAGCAGTCCGACAAAATATGACTAAAGCATTTTTTTTCTTTACTTATTTCTCTCTTTATATAATGCAACATATACCATAAGGTAACCACAAATGGAAAAAAATAAAACTCAAATAGATGTCAAAAAAGTTAGCTCCAGGAAGTAGCGTAGCATTTCATTTCCGACATAGACTAGTGATAAAACAAAGGCATATACTTTCTCAGGAAATACTTTATTATATATTATTAACCTTTAACATGTTATAGTTTAATACGGTGTAGGTATTTTCTACAAATTAAAATCGAGGCCGACCCAGATGTATATCTGGTTGCGCAACTGAGCGGATGGTGCGGATCGTATTTCCGATACAGATCAGGTAGTGACAAGCATTTACTTCTACCTCTACATAGATCTGTGTGCTAGCGGCTGTTTCATCTATTCTTCGGTGTGGCGCCAAACCTATTTTAAGCGTATTACTGCCACCTAAAGGTTTGGAGTGAGAAAGTCAGTTCTTTCTCTGGGTTAATGTAAAGTAACTTAGTACCTCATCTGTTAAATTATGTTTATAATGCAAATGCAACTAACTGGCCAGCCTACTTGATGGTTTGGGAACAGTATGTGGATGGAACTAACGCCTGGGCGATTCTGGAAGAAAAAGTTAAAGATTTTACACTGCAGCAGGGATTTACTTCCCATCTCGAACAATGCCATCATTACATCGGGGTCTCAGCTACATTCTGTGAGCAACTCAGAATAAATACAAAACTATGTCCATTCTTTTCAGATTTTTATTTGGAAATTTTTTACTTTAATTTCTTAATAATGCAAAAATTAGTCTAATACAGAAAACTATACCTTATATTCACGTTTGTGGTTGTGACAAAATGCCCCCGAAATTCAAAGGCCATCAATAAATTAATTAGACAGAGATTTTGTGCATTAATGACATTATATAAAGTAAACCAGTGTTCTTTAAAGAGAAGAGAGTTTATGTTCAGCCATGTTTAGTCTTGGAAACTGGTTTATCTGTAGTCCAGTGTTTCATAATTCAAGTATGTTTTTTAATTTCCTATAAGACCTTTGTCACAGTAGTTATATTTGGTTCTATCTTTCCTCTGCAGAAAAGGAAGCTGAGCTGGTCAGACCCAGATGTCACAGCGTCAGTCCCAGCTAAGCAGAGCTGTCGTCAGCATGAAGAACACGAGAGCTGCCTTACTTCTACATGTCTTCCTCTATCGCCTGAAAATCTGACCACGCTAGAGGACAAAACAGCAGAAATGGACAACTGCTCAGAAGGGCAAAGATTTCCAAAAAGGACTAACCCCATAAGCGGGTCTCATTCATGTATCAGGGAGGAACATGAGAACCAGAAACCGACTGAGGATTTTCTCCCCTCTCCTTGCGGCAGCCCTGCTACGCAGGTCTATTCAGTGTCTTCAAGCAACAGTGTTACTGCAATCGACTCACAGTAACTGACCTTGCTATCACATGGAGGGAGCTCAGCTCATCCGTTAGAGTAGACCCGATTACATAACCATAAAGTTTGGCAGGAGGCCATCCTGTGATGCCTGCGAGGCACATTAAACCAGATTAGATGGGAAAGACGCTTATTGACCACCAACCCTCTGGGTTTCTTTTTCTTAAGAGGCCGTGTGATTTTACAAGCCATTGTTTGGAGGAAGGTTATGTTTTTGTATGAAACTAGGTTGAAGAAGTTTGGAAATATTTTATATATTTTTTTGTGTTGAAGCAATTGTCGCTGTTTTTTTTGTATTTTCTTTTTTACATAATGGATGGAAGCCTCAAAAGTTGCAGCACATCATTTTAAATAATAAAAAGAAAATTATAATTATGTTTTGTATCCTTATTAGCTCTTGTTAGTAAGAAGGTGATCTCTTGTGCAAAGCTCAGTTAAAATGAGCTCGGACATATTTGATATTGTGCACTAAAACAGTTTTTTTTTTTTTTTTACTGTTTTGAGATTTTTACAAATTGTAAGGCAGTCTGAAAAGATGGGGTGCAGGAAATCTTCACTGTTGCTATGCTAGTACTGGTATTAGTTAGAAACACATGATGATATTTGTGACACACGGTTAATGTTTTTAAATCTAATCTACACTGCGGTAATTTCATGAGCCTTAATGTTGATTACTGACCATTTGTGAAGTAAACATTTCATTTAGACTGTGATTTTTAAGATATTTTTAGTCAATAAAAAAACATTGACAAGAAGAAAGGCACTTTTTGAGCATATCACCTTCTAAAGCCAGTTTGCTTTGTTTTTCTTTGTGACTTGGAGGCACTCAGAAATTAACTTGATCTTCCATTGCCTGTTATCTCCTTCCGACTTCCATTTAATGTATCTCTGGTAGACCTGGTCTTTTTTGCAGACATTTTCCCCGCTCTACTTTATTTTTTTTTATTTTCTAAATAAATTAAGCCCAAAATGATGTAAAGATGTAAGGCTTCTACCAAGATCTGCCAAAGACACATCCGAAATGTCTTAAAATGATGACACAAATATAAATTAGACATGCTTAACCTTTAATGGTAAAAGGTGAAATAATGAAATAAAGGTGAGCAAAATAAAAATTCTGCCTATTGCACTCATATGTAGTGAGTGTGCCAATGTCTTGATTTTGTTGGAATAATTTTTCATTAGAGATTTGTATCTTTCTGTAAAAGTTAAATATATCTAAGCCTGTCTGCACTTGAATTTATGTATCTGCACTTTGGATGAAAATGAGGAAATTTTACACATCTGTGAACCACAAAAACATTATGTTATTTATAAAAAATTTACTTGATATTTTCATTTCCATCGCCTGATTCATGTTGCCTCTTAGATCGGAGCTTCAGAGGTACTTGAATGAGAGATATGTGGAAATGTACAGGAAAACATTTGAGGAATAAATGTGTTATATGTTTTAAAACAACATGAGTTGGTAGAAACCACCTGCTGTGCCTCAATTTAAACAGATTTATCCCTCTGATATGCTTTTATAGGTTTGGCAACACTGTTAGTGCAATCAGAGAGATTACAATGAAAGAAGTGAACCATTTCCATTCGTGAACTCATTGTTTTTTATCTTTTGATATCAGTTTAATCTTTTACCACTATACTTTCCTCAGGTTTCATTCATGTTGAATGACGTCTCATCTCTGATGGTTTGTCATCAGTCAGCCTTACATATAAACCACAAAACTAGCAATGTATTTGTCTTTTAAATTATACAACAAAGAAAAGTCAAATGAATCATTTGAAAAATGAATAAAAAATATTTCAAAACGATTGTGCTTTTTGTGGAGGTTTTTCTTAGACTTTGCTTCTAAAGATGAAATAGTAAAAAATAGTTCTTTGTTTCTTATAAATTATACTGCTATTATAGTGACTGCTTGATGAAAGCATTTTGTACATATTAAAGACTAAAAAAGAAATTTAAATCAGTTTTTTCATTTTTTTTTTATCACATCCAGTGTATGAGAAGCTATTGGCAGGTAGTCTTTTAAAAGTATTTTATCTTATTTTTTAACGTTAAAGCTACAATTATTTTCCCCCTACTTTTATGTTGATTATTTATTGCTGTGGTACACTAATGCAAACAAACACTTATTTTTTTAAGTTATCAGGAATGTGGAACAATGTTTTATTCTTTTTATGCTTTTTACAAAAGGTGTACATTCATTTTTCACTCTCTTCACTTACCTTGTTTCAATTATAACTGATATTATTCAGTAATTCACACTTTTTCAAATCAATACATGGGCCAACAGGGACCAATGCTGCTATAGAACAGATCCTGGCCCCTGTTATGGCCCCTATACTGGAAAAAAACCCTGCAAAAAATATAAATTTATTGGATTTTACCTTGATTTTGGCAGTTTGTTAAGGCAATGATAATACAAAAACTAAACCCATTATCTTATTTTAAGTGCAACATACCGAATTCTCTTATTGTAATCGAATAAAAATGCATTCATTCGGTAGATAATCTCATTTGATATCTCAAGTTATGGAAAAACACTGTTATTTTAAGAGACTTTTACTTATTAAGATCAGCTTTGCATTATACTACTTAAACTTCTGATGATATAAGGTCACAGAATAGACCGTAACTGCCCCTCCCCTCAGACCAATTTGATATTTAACCTTCAAAATTTATATTGACAGGTATTGAGAAATTACTGCCAGCTTAAGATTTAGCTGTGTTAAGCCAGGATCACAGTTTTTATCTGTTAGATCAGGAGTCTGAAACCTTTCTTTGACCCTATCATAAACAGCATTTTAAAATTGCCACTGTAAATACACCTGCCAGTTTTCATGAGAAATGGACGGTAATCATTGGCTTCAAAGTCTGTTTTTAAAATGCATATATTTATAGATAAATAAATAAAAAATACTGTTTTAAAATTATATATTCACTATTAAAAATAATCAACAATTAAGACATGAATTACAATATTTGCACAATTCTGTTTTGTAAAGAAAAAAAAGTCCTACCCAGCAGGTGGCGCCGTGTGCTACGCTTAATATTGCATTCCCTTCCACTAGGGGGCACCATACCCACAGCGTTTTCCGGAAATGTACATCTGTGCATCAGGATGTCACAAGGCGCTAAGTTTTAACCAAAAGTGTTAAATGAAATGAAAAATTATCTCCGGGAAAGAACCTCATTCTGAATAACCTTTAAACACGAGAAGAGGATTAAAAAGAACTAAGCCGAGTTTTAGCTCTTTGTAAAATCACAGCGGGAAACTGCCGAGTGGCTTTTGAACGCAATGGTGTTTGTGTAAGGTTTAGCTAGCATGCTAAGCTAAGTGCTAGCCCAAGCTAAGTTGATGTCGGAGCGATAGAAACTGAATCCCGGGGACATGGCAGCGGGAACAGGCGGATCATTAGAAGCCAGTTTGGAGAAGAGGTTCAGAGGTCTAACCAACACCATGGATTCCATCCAGGGACTGTCCGCCTGGTGCATAGACAACAAGAAGTACCACAGCCTCATTGTGCGCCAGTGGATGAAGTGTTTGAGGAAATGTGAGTAGCTTTATACCTGCTAACAACACAGCTGCAACGGTCGGAACTGGGTTAGCAAATGTTAATATGGAAGTTTAAAAGGTATTTAATTAGGGTTTTCAATAAATACTTATTTAGGCAATCGAGGCCGCTTTTAAAGGAATATGTACTAGCTTCAGTCAGTTCTAGTTTAAAGTACAATTGTCCAAATTGATCTAAAAAACACATTTCAATCCAGTTTTTTTTTAACTCATTAAAATAGAAAACAATTGTATGGAAAATCATTTAAAGTTTTAGGATTTATTTATTACCACATTTTTTATATGTTGATTGTCTTTCTCGTCTATTTATCCATCCATTCACCTGTCTGCTTCTCACTTCATCTGAACAGTATTCAGTTTGGATGATGATCTCTTCTGTCTGCCAATTTATTCCTTTTTGACCAGACTTACCCTTTCACCCAATCTTCAAAGCTAGTACGATATAGAGGTGTAAATGATAATCGTTTTGTACCGATACATCGATCCAACAGCCGATGATCCGATACATCGATACCAAAGGCGTAAATATCGGCAAGCAGAGACTGCAGTTGCTTAGGGGACCCCGACCTCTTAGGTAGTCCCCTTGGTAGTCCTCTATACAATTGGGGACTAGGACATCTCTTTGCAGATGTAATGGTGTGAAAACTTCTTCTTAAACCCACCTGACATTAAGTTTACTGACCGGACCTTATTTATGCCGCAATACACAGCAGATTTCAACAGGATGGTGAGACGTTTAAACACGACACCAATAGAAAAACAGACAGTGGTGCTTTAAATTACTATGTTAATAACTGTGTATAGTTCATTAGACGGTTGGTAAAAAATAAACTCATATAATATGTTTCAAACCACAATAAAGATCTTAAAAGAACGATGTATTTGAGTATTTTATTTTTTACAATTGAACTTGGAATTATGGGTAATCCAGAGCGTAGATTAAAACCATAACCGAAACGTACAATGTGTTAGCGACGTTGGATACCAAAAGCTGGTAGGCAAGTGGATTCCAGAAAAGAAAAAGTAAAAAAGAGCTGCATGAAGAACGGAAAAACTTCCCAAAATAAACAAGTTATTTCAAAGAAGTGAAGAGGGAATGGTGGAAGTTGCTGCTACAGTGAGTAAAGATTGCGACCAGGAGATGAATGGAGAGAGCGTGGGTGAGGAGGGTAGCCCGATAAGACTTATTTTACAGCAGAATTTACTAAAGTATGTCTAGTGAAGGTGAAGAATGGTGAAATCTGTATTTATAGGGCACGTTTCGTGTTGGTTGTTTACAACGGCGGGGTGGGGTGTTGTACTTCGTATGGGGCCCACTCAGATAATGTTGCTTATGGGCTTATTGTTGTAGTATCGTTTCATGTTTCTTTTTCTTCTAAATGCATATTTTACAGTCTCTATACTCCAGTTAATGATTAACTGATAAATAAATTAGCCATTCATTCATTTGTAGCTATGTCTATATATTACTTTTGCTTTCTCAAGCCTGTTATACAGTTTTAATAGAGGTATCCAGGAGTTGATCTAGGATAGGAGATTGCACACAATATGATTGTTTGTGTACATGGTTTGCTTCTATATCCTGAGTAAAGTTGTCGTATAAATGAGCTAATTACTGAAAACTTTGGGTTGGAAATCACTCCAGATGATTATATTCTAACCAGTTAAGGTTTGTATTTAGCTGGATTCCTTTTTTTCTTCAGAATTTCTGTGGTTTTGGAGAACAGCCTTGTTCAGTTAAAGTAACTGCCTTATTGAATAGTTTTGTTGGCGTTTGATGAAGTTATGTCTTGGTAGACCCCTATTGATATTTAGGTGAGGTCATGTGATAGACTGAGTATTAATTTACCTGTTTTCCTTGAGGGCTGCCTTTTTTTATTGCCAAGAGGTTGGGCTTTATTAGTCACTGAAGAGGCACTAAACATAAAACAGTAACTAAAAGATCACAGATGGCAGATTTTAAAACCTCTTTCAAACTAACCTTGAAATTAGACTATTAGATTTTTTTTTACAGTTTTCCTGATGTATGATTCTCAATTAATATTGATCTTATTTATATTGGCTACCTATCCACGATTGCTTTGGTAAAATGCATGTTTCTTTTCATCATGAAATTGAATACTTTTAAACCAACACTAAGTAACTTTTCAACCTTCGTAAAATATTTTCACAGCTCTTGTGATTATGCGTCGACTTACAACTAGTTGAATGACACCTCTGTCACGGCCTGAGAGGCCTGTATCAGACTGCAAACTGCTTTGCGGCACACGTCACTTCCCCCAGTCGCTATAAAGACAAAGCCGATGGGACTACATTTCCCTAACAGACGCTACATTCATGAAAATTCAGTACAGGGTTGACATTCAGCTACCAAGAGACAAGTATTTTGCCATGCTATGCGCTGGTCCTCATGGAAAATGTGATATTCCTCCAGGCCAAAAAACACAGTTTTTGTCCCCTGGACGGAGCCAAAATCGACCAACGCTGAAACTTCATTAGATTTGCGTTAATAGATGACTTTCTTTTAAAATTTTGCCTGTTATTGGTTGATTTCTCTTGATCTGCTCTGATGGCTCACTGAAGAACTGAAATCTATTTTTTCTTACTCTCCTTCAAAAGCATTCAAACGATTTTTTTTTAATGAGAATACTAATCAACATGTGCTTGCAAAATAAAAATCCTCAAAGTTGACGACATGTGCTCTGATATTTTACTAACAACGACTTTGTGTTTCCAACACTTTCTGTTGGATTTCCATCTACTTCTCTCTATATATGTCCAGACCACGGTTTTTAGCTACTCTTATTTATTTTGAAAAGCTGCTCATAAAAATTGTGGTCAATTTAGATTTTTCTTTTTGAATCAGATTTAATAATATCCCAAATATTTCTGTTTCCATCCTGCCCTAATTAGTCATTCTTACATTCATTTTCAGTGTAACCCTGTGTATTTAACCGGTAGTAGTAGATGGAAAACTTTTGTTTTCTGCAGTTGCACAATTGTAAAGGGCTGCTCTGATCTAGTCATTGGTAACCTATTACATTTAAACTCTAATGTATTCATGCTCCTCATGTAAATGTACTTATCTCCTCTGATGGACTTTTACCTCTCTTTGTGCAATTTACTAAAATATTTGTTAAAGCTTACATGTAGATCAGTGGTTTCCAACCCTTTTCCCCAGAAACCCCTCCTCCTGTGTCCTTGTTGCATGACACTAGACACTGTGTTGGAACAGAGACGCATCTAAAACAAGCAGAGCAGGGGTCCCTGAGGAACGGAGACGGGAACCATAGATGATTGCAGCAAGATTGGGGGAACATTGTTTGACTGTAACGTTTTCATGGGAGGCTGGTCACTAACTGGTTTCAGTGAGAGCTGCTGAATATGAAAGTGGAAGTAAATACAGCAAAATCGCTTATCAGTGAGAAAGGGGTGGAATGAATCACAAGCTACCTGTTCATGGATATAAAAATATATCTGAGGGAACTTAAGCTTAGAGATATTATTGTATTTTCACCGGATTTAAAAAAAAAAAGCAACTAACTCTTATATTATCTGATTAGTTTAGGATGAGCAGTCAAGGTGGGCGATACGGTCAAATCTTGTATCAGAGTATATTTCTGAACTTAAGTTGATGCAAATTGATTCTGATATCGATATAAAAAATATGAAAGGCTCGGAAAGACTACCAGAAATACCCCAGTTAGATTCCTTTACAAACTTAGGAAAATGATCTTGGTATGCCCTGGAAACTCCTCCAATATAACATTTAATAATAATAATAATAAAACAAATAACATATCTATTTTTATTTGGAGCTACAAGCTCAAGAGACAAAATTCCCATTTCACCAGATGATTATATCTTCCTTATATTCCTCATTCAGTCGCTTCTTACCGCTTTCAGTTTCTCTTTCCCTGGCTCCTTTATTTTATAATTAACTGTCGTATGTTTAAGAAGAAAAACACACCTAAGTCTGCAAGACCATCTAAAATCACTATAGAAATTCAAAATGAGATGAGAAATGTACCTTCAGTTTGACTAGTTTATATGAAGAGGGACCTTTTCAGCTTGAAAAGGTAGAAACTCGTATGCTACATCCGAACTTCCCTTACGGTTAAAAATTATATAACGTCTAACCACGTCATGCAAAGTAGTTTTTTAACAGTGTACTGCAAACTTACTTTTTATTTTTTAAATAATTCCATAAGTGGTGATCTTCCTGAACTTGATGATAACTGTAGTATTTTAAGCAAAGACCATACAACAGGTTGTTTTAATTGGTTTAGAAATTTGTACAGGAATTTAGTTCCCAGAATAATTTTCAGTATTTCAGATGCAAAGTTTAAAGTATTCTTTACCAACAGGTTTCTCTGATTGGAAGTGATATTAAGATTAGGCTGATGACAATAAGTTAAAGTTTTGTTGATGATAAATCAATAAATAACCTTTTAAAGATGTCTAAATTGTTATAAAACAAATGATAATGTATATTGAATATTTGGTGCTGTTACATTGTTTAAAAAATGTCACTTTGTGTAGAACTTTAAAATTCTGGTTGTTTCATTTTAAAATCATGCTTTTTATAAGGAGGTTCGTCCATCCTTATAATCCTTCACTCCCACTGATTGATCACATTCTCTATAATTAATGGTAGGAGTGAAATACTTCAAAAAATGCCGCAACATTAATTGTGCACAGGAGATTTTTGCTTTATTATTTATAAATCTCTTAATTTTTCTTAAATTTTCACTGTAAGTCTGTGATGTAACTATCCCCTTTTTGTCATGGTCCGTTTGTGTGCCGCCATCTGTGAATCTGAGGTCCGGGTCGGACCAGCTGGTGTTTAGCTCGCTCTTTTTTTCCAGTTCTGAGATGCAGTAGCGTGTAGCCAATGACTAACGGCTAAGAAAACACTTATGTTGATGCTTAACAGTAGCAGCTCGGCCATGAGAGCCGTCACTATCTGTACCGGCAATGTTACGATGCAGCTGTCAGTTCACCTTGAACGTGCTCAAGTAGTTACACACGCAGAGAACAAATAAACCTTTCTTTGTAAGGAAGGAAAAAGCAATTCTAACCTTTTCCCACTGCTTGTTGCTAAGTTACAACACTCTACATCTTTTGGTTTAGGTTTCATAAACAGTTTTCATCGGGGATTTTCTGGGCTTAATCAGAAAACTTGCTATTAAAGGATCACAGTTATTAGTTTCAGGAAGAATTAGCTCTGTATGAAAGTACAAAGAGGCTTATATTGTAGTGCTGGTGTATCACTAATACTGCAATGAGCTTAATTAGGTATAGGGAAGTTGACTTTTACTAAATAAATAGCTTTATTTTTTAATGCAGACAAAAATAATCACTTTTTTAAGTATTTCAGATACGGCTGATTATAATGGTTAAAATAATACTAATATTTGATTCTTATTAAATTCTTGATGCTTTAAAAACAATTGCAGAATATTTAAAAATAACAAAGCTTTAGCTAAAATATAACAATTTAAGATTGATTATAAACAATTTTCCAGGGGGTCTACACCAACTAAGGAATATGGCTGTTTTCTAGAGTTGAATCAACCGGATGAATCGATTATTGAAATAATCGTCAACCAATTTGATAATTGATTAATTGTTAATTAAGGTGTGAAGACTCTAAAACCTGCCATTAACTGATAGAACAAACACTTGGAGTAGTACATATGCTGAAATTGTAAAATAAAATGTAGGACCTTGTATTTTAGAGAAACATTTTGTCTGTATGTATTTTCTATCCAGAACTCCTCGAGTGACATAGATTTAGATTAAACTGGTTTAAATTTAAGGCACCTTTTGTTTTCTGGTTAATATAAAAAAAATCAAGAGATTAATTGATAAGCAGAATAATCAATAGTTGCAGCCCTAGCATTTTTATTTGTATGATAGGATCCTGACAATCTATTCTTCAGTCAATACCAGCTTCATGGACATCAGTTTTTTTCAGTTTTATTCACCTGTAGGATCCTGTTGTTTTTAATAATTCACAGAAAAAGAATTTCGAATTGTATCTTCCATAAAGTAAATCAGCATTGGGGGTGTACTTCATCAAAACCTATTTTTATTTGGTCAAAATATAAAAAAATTAAATCTATTAGGCTTATCCTATATACAGATCTACTGGAGAGTGGTAGCTGTTGGGTGTGCTTGTTTCCAGCTCCATGTTAGCTTGTTATCACCGTATCCAGTAGGTGGGCTAGAGCTCCACTTCTCTTCCCACTAGCCTTTCGTTCTGATACATATTATTTCTGAAAATATAATGCATAATATAGCAGCCAATGAGAAGAGTTTTAAATCTGTAGTAGGGACTATTGGTCGGCTCTGCCCTTATATTGTTATGTGTTTATTGAGCCTCTTGATTGAGAGACATCAGGTCATTCCAGGGGTATTACGAACTTGGTTCTCAAAGAAATTGTTCAAAGAAGTATTTTTGGAAGAAGATTTGGAGCTTTCAAAATAGGAAAATGTTTTTTGTATTGCTCAATAAATTGTAAAATGCTTATAAACAGAATCTAGCTCATTTAGACACATATATGGCACACTGTGCCGAATGGACCCATTTGGTACAAAACAACATATAGCATCAATGGACGTCATCCCACCAATTTAAAGTTCTGTGCATGTTAATAAGAACTACAAGTGTAATAAATTATACATACGTCATGTATGGTATAATGTAAAAATAGCATCAAAATGTGGCATCTAGAAAATAGATTTTTTTATATAGAAAATCCTCACATTTTAAACATGTTTAAACAGATGTAGTTTAAGTTCTGTAACAGTCACAATGTGGAGATTTTTATCACGAAAACTAGAAGCTCTGCACTTTAAAATGAATCCAGTTTTAATAGGCATTGCCACTTCAGTATGTCCAAAATTAGTTGGGTGGTAAGAGGTAACAATCAAGTGTGGTCACTGGTTACACATGCAACATGTAAACAAATGCATTGTTAAAGATATTGTCTGTCTCACTTAATTGCTGGATCGCATTTTAGAGTTTCACCCAGTCCGTTTTTACTGTAAATATCGCATGGTTTCACTTTGGTTGGAAAAAGAAATGACCCAGTTTGTCAATTCTATGCTTATATTTAATAAATTGCTAATCAAAAACCTCAAAAGTTACAGAAATTTATTAGCTAGAGGTGTTCGAATTTAGAATATCTTGCAATTTTGATAATGTTGGTAAATCTTGGGCAATGTTCTTTCTCATGTTTTTTTTTTTACACACACTCTGTTTCTTCAGCATTTAACAATGCAATTTACGTAAGAGTTTGGGCATCTGCATTCTAGAGACTGTCCATCTGTCTGAATATTACATTAACATTTAAATCTATGCTGTTTAAAACACTTAGAATGTATTAGCTGGATATTAATGCTGTCTATAGTATGGATATTTCCCACACTAACTATATGATGTTATATATTGCATCCTTAAAACTAACTTTAAATACCCAATAACCACAAGAACAATAAACATTAAAAAATTTTTACAAAATCCTTCTACCTAGTTGGTGGAAGTGTCCTTTCTGTTTGTGGAACATTTATCAAGATAGTGGTGATCTGAGCTAGCTGCAAAATATTTTTCTTCCTTCTCTGATTTCATGGCCATGACCTTTGAACTTTGAGATTTGGTGCACTATTTTTAGTGCAGTTATCAAAGGAATTATTCAGAACATTTTTAGAGTAAATGAACACAGGAAACACAGGATGGAGGTTACAGTCAGGCATTACAGGGTCAGCTATTGTTCACTTGTTGGCTGCCTGGTAACTCCTAGTGGTTCTGTGTCATCCGTTTCATAGCTTAACTACTAAAATTACATGTTCTTCTATTTTCTTTTTCATTATCGTCACATTTGTTTTTATGTTGGGCTTCTTCTCAAACTTAAAAAAATAAAAATAAAAAATAGGGATGTAAACAGATGACCCAGTTATGATTTGTCATCGGTTATTGGTTTGTTAGATAAAAATTTGTTCCATCACAGAGGGGCAGCTGTGGTAAGGAGTAAAACCTGTGACCCATTTGCAGAGGCTTTAGTCCTTCAGGCTGTCAGAGGTTCGAGTCTCAGCCTTGTGACCTTTGCTGCATATCTCCCCTTCTCTCTAAGCTCTAGTCCTGTTTGCCTTCTTTTGAAAAATACTCAAATAAAATCCACTAGGGCCTAAAAATAATAATAATAAAAAAAGGTTAATCCCAATAATTGATGTTGTCAGTTTAAAGATAATTAATTTCAGTGTTGTAATGTTTTGGTCATCCTCTAAAGGGGACCACTGTTCATTCTTCAGCAAAGTCTCACTGGTATTTGCCAGAGAAGGAATGCCAGAGCGAAGGCATGCTAAAGCAGAAACACAAATCAATTAAGAGTTTGATTATTTACGCTGTTTAATAGCGACAAGGATGCAGAATGAACTTTAAACATATAAATATAAACACTTGAGTCATTTAGCTGTGCTGCATGGTGAAGCAGCTGTGATCAGGAAGGAAGGGTGTGATGATAGAAAAGTGGAGCAAATTCCACAAAACATTTATAACCTGATGGAAAAAGACATTAAAAGACATATTTAGCTCATTTTGAGGAAAAACCCTCCCGTTACAAGAGAAAACTTAGGTTCGTATGAAGTTACAATTAAATGTTAGTTGATCAATCAAATTTAGATTAATTATTTAATCAGTAACTTTCATCCTTAGTTAGACGTTTTATTTGTGAACTATATGAGAGTTATTAACTTTCTTCACTGGTTCACTTTCTTCTGGGATCCAATAGTGGATTGGTCATTGTAGGACAGTGAAATCTCTTTTGTTTCTCTAATGCTGTTCTCTATCTTTCCCTCTACAGCGAATGCCTCCCACAGACTGAACCTGATGTACCTGGCTAATGATGTCATTCAGAACTGCAAAAGGAAAAACGCCATTAATTATCGTACAGCGTTTGCTGAGGTGCTGCCAGACGCCTTCCAGCTGGTCAAGTAAGTAGCTCGTAGAATGTGCTTTAGCAGGACAAGGTCAGCACAATAAAAAACCTCTGTTCTGATGTTTGTGTTTGTCACTGTAGGGGAATTGGGGTCCTGGGTGTGGCTTGGGGAGCAGTTGGGGACTGGGGTCAAACACTGTAAGGCTTAAACCTATGCTAGATGGTCACAAAGCTCCTTTATGTTTAGGGAAGTTTAGCAAATGTAATTGACAATTTGCTCTCATTCAAAATCTTAAGATGCCCAGAATCTGGATTATATTAATTTATTCTATACTAAGCATGTATTTTAAAGAATGTTGTTTTTGATTTGTAAATATATATTTTTCTATTTCTCAAAGAAAAACATAAAGGGTTTGTTGGTCCTTCAAATGCTTTCGGACCTGGTGTTAGTTTGTCTCCTGGTTGATTAGATTACATGAAGAAATATTCACACCCTGTGATAAAATCAGAGCAACTTTTTTAGAGGCAAATAAATATGTAACTCTGTCACACAGTGGGACATCATAAAGGTCCGCTGATGTTTCTGCCATGTCACTGATACTTCAAAACCGTTGATCTGGATTATTACTACTGACACATTTGATCGCTCTTGTTATTTTAATCTGCTTCAGTTCACATATATGTTTCCCTCTAAAACAGCCCTACATTAAAGAAGCTGGAAAAAAATCTTCATGCGCCACTTAACTGTTAAGAAGCAGGACTACCACTTACATTAGCATTGCTAATGGATGAACATTTTTGGTTTTTATTTGGTTTATTGGTCTTTTTTATCACATTGCAATCACTTTGTGTATCGCCTTCTTTGCCAGTAGATAGGTTATACTGCTCCACAATGCAGCACAGCTAAATGAGCACTTTTAGGTGATAACTTAGGGTGTTTATTCAGTGTTTATATTCACAAACAGAACCACATAAAATGTTGCCATTAAACGCTGTAAATAATCCCAGACTCTCGATCAGCTCGTGTTTCTGTCCTTGCATGCCTCCGCTCTGGTGATGAATATCATGTTATCAGTTTTCCACTATTAAATGTATCAGTAGCTATGTTTACATGGATATAAATAATCGGATTAAAGGCCTCGTCAGATCAAAAAGGTGCCATGTAAACATGCCGGCCTGACTATTCTAATCAGATTCGATTCCGAAAATAGAGAGGTGTTGGTTTTCTGATTGCCGTCCTGGTCGGCATCCATGTACACGTCCATTCGGATCTTTGGAGTAAAACAATCTCCACGCATGTGTGGCATGTTTTGTCCAGAAAATTTAGTATTTCCACACATGCTTAAATTATTTATTTAGGGCTGGGCAATTAATTGCATTTGCAATATAATTGCAATAAAAAAAATGAAATTTTGAAATTGCAGAGATGCTCAATTTTGGTCTAGTTACATTTAACAAGACTAAGAGACAATTTGCATGTGTTAAAAGTGGAGTTGCTGCCACTAAAAATAAAGGAGAAACTTCTAGCTAGCGCTCCGATCTATGCTAGCAAGTAAAAGTTACCACTTTTCCAAACAAATGTTAGATTAATGTTCCACAACAACAGACTTTAGACAAGCCAGCTTTTAAGGTAAAACTGAAACCCTGGAGTGAAACATTTACATGCATGTGGTGAGTGCAAAAGAAAATCACAATATCGGTTGAAAATAATCGCAATTTAGACTTTTGGAAAAATCGTTCAGCCTTGGATATAATCTGATCGCCAGCTAGGTCCATATATACACATGTAATTATCAGCTAATTTTATTTAGTGTCCTTGTAGACAGATTGAATTTCTGATCAACCATAGTTTAGATCAGACCAAGGGAAGGTTTGCATATGTTAACGTAGATGTTGTCTGCTGCAGTATCATCCAGGTAGGTGCTTTATTTGCAAGTACAAGGTATTGCTATAGCATTGAGGAAGCATGTAAACATCTCCAAGTTGCTTTTAAAGGAAGAACTGAGCCCCATGAAGCTTCAGTGAAGCGTTTACGTTTCAAGGTTTGTTTTCAAATTTGCCACAAATCAGACTTTGCTCTTTTATATTCTTCTTTGATTTTTTTTTTCAGACTTGAGAGTGACTCGAAGATGATAAAATCTGTGGAGAGGATTCTGTCCATCTGGGAGGAGAGGGATGTATATTCTGGCACGCTTGTTAATGATCTCAGGAATATCCTGGTTAAAGAAGAGTCGCCTCCTCAGACACCTGTGGAGCAAAAAAGTGAGTGGTTCATCATTCTTGCTGACATTTCAACCTGTACGTTTCCCACCCCCTGTTAAACGTTATGCTTACTTAAACCTTTCTTCATATCTGTTCAGCTTAGATATATGCTACAAGTATAAATGTGGATTTTTATGTGTTGTGTTCCTTTTTAATGTTTTTAAAGCTCCGGTTGTGTCTAAAGCTGAGCTGCAATCCAAGGTTGTTGCTGAGTTTGTGGTGAGTGAGATTAAACTGAAGTATAAGGTCACCACCTCCATGAACACAGAAGACATCTTTGTGTCCATTAACCTAAAGCTTGAACTATATCTGTTTCTGCTTCAGCCCCAGGCTTTTATAGACCAACTAAACAAGTACAAGAAATCCCTGGAGGAGGTTGACCTCAAAGAAAAACAGCTGGCAGCCATGAGAGTTGACATCTTCAGCTCTGATGCTCTCAGGAAACTCAAAGGTGCCTCCTTTACGTGCTTTGCCATCCAACACAGCTCAGTTTTAACTTGGAATCTTAGAATAAGCCGTTTCTCGTGGTGTTCTTTAATTTATGTTCCTCTCTTGCAGATAAAGCAGGAGGAAAGAAATTCTCCAGAGATTTTGAGGAGGGAAGTTCTCAGCTACAGGAGTTTGTCAAGTTTTTTGAGAAACAAAGCAAAATTGGTCCTGCACTTCTTGAGGCTCTTGGGAATGCAGATATCTTTTATGAGATGCAGTACAAAGAGGTCAAGATTGTTGCTAATGTAGGTATTTAAGCTCTAGCCTGTGCTTCTTTTTGTTGTTGCATCTGTTAGCCAATATTGTTTTAGTCATATTCAGTTACTGTTTTCCTCATCAGTTTGTGGTTGATAGAATCTTATAGTTTCTATAAGTGTTGTTCTTGAATTGTAATGTTTTTCTGCTTTTTTATTCAGGCCTACCAAACGTTTGCAAACAGGGTTTCCCACCTCAAGCGTAAATTGGATGCCCTGAAGGCCACCTTACCAGATCTGGATGAGTCTCCTATCCCTTCGCCGACTGCAGACGCTCCATCTCCAACAGGATCGGAATCCCCTTTTCACGGCCTGGAGTTGGCGCACCCAGATCCAGACCTTGATGGTTCTGCCATGGATGATGACGCAGAACCGCCGGCCCCGAGTCCTCTGTCCTCACCAGGAGCGTCCCCGAAACCCTCAGAGATCATCGGGGGGAACGACAACCGTGAGGTGGAGGACATGGAGCTGTCAGAGGAGGAAATAGACAGCGGTGGCATCATAGGTGAAATGTCTTTTCTGCTTATGGGAAGTGATGTAAAATGAAAAAGAAAAATCCCTGTATTGACTATTCTACCAATTCTTCTCTTTCAGTCGAAGAGCAGAATGAGTCCTTCCCTCAGCCAGCCGTTTCTGCTCCAACCCCTGCAAAGAGTGAGCCATCTGTAGCAACAGAGCAGATTACCCAGCCGGTCAGGCCTTCTGCAGCCGTTCCCTTAGCTCCTCCCTCCACCGTCCTTCCAGCCGTTTCCTCAGCCGCCCCTCCACTTGTTCCTTTAGCCGCTCCTGCAGATATTTCCAAAAAAATCCTTTCAACTGTTCCTGCGTCTGCTCCTGTTGCTCCTCTTGCAGCTGTACCTGCAGCCGCCTTGGAAAATGTTGATCTGGGTAAAATTGGCTCCATCCTCAGCAGCTTCAGCCCAGTCATAAAAAGCACAGGTAAGTTCAAGTCTCTTTGTGGAACTTACAGCCCGATGCCTTAGCCACATGTAAAGACATCGAGCTTTTTGACTAGACTATAGGGTGATGTTTGGGGACATGTATGAAATTATTGCACATTTAGGTGAAGTGGCACCTAAATGGTAAAGGCAGTCCACTGTGTGTTCAGCGCATCCAAAAAATACTTGGAGCTCTTTCCTCAATAATGATTCCCAATTTTATACCAATTGGAATAAGGCTGTATCAAAACTAAATGTTCTTTCTGGATCCACTTTAGCTTAAGCTCTGCATGAATCCAATTGATCAGTTGAGGCTTTAATGAAACGGCCTTATTATGTGAAAAACAGGGAAATGGGGCTGCAAACTAACGAAACATGGCTGCCGAGCGGTCAACCAGACCGCTCGGCAGCCAACCAACCAAACCAAAGCTGTAGCTCAGAGGTTAATGTGATGGTATAACGATTCTGTTTTCTTGCTAACTTCTAGTCCAACCCAACAAATTTGGCTTTTATGACAGAGAAGCAAGATGAATACCCCTGCTGTGAGGAAGTGGATTTTACAGACATAATTCACTATCAAATTTCAGACTTGCAGCTGTAATCGGAGTAAAATGTGTTTCTAGAAATTATTGATTCACAGAGGAGTGAATCTAAATATAGCCACTTTGTGGTTATTTGATTTATAAATAAATGTATAAAACCATGCATAGTTTCTTTCTCCCACTTTATCCTTGCATTACCTTCTGTTGGTCCCATTAGAGAAGCTGAAATCTGAAGGTGTGATGTGATATAACATCAAGATGTGTAAATAGCAGATATGTCTATTTTATGGGTGAATGTATGAAAGCGACTCTAATATTCTGTTTTGCAGCAACAGCAGTGGAGGATCGTCCTACAGCTCCTCCAGCGATACCCAAACCCGCTCCTCCTTTGGTGCCACAGGATGCCAGTTCACTAGTGAACCTCCTTTCTAAGGTGGATGTGAGTCCTGCAGACCTGCTCAGTGCCCTGTCCAAAGTTCAGAGCCATAGCAACTTTAAGGGTCAGTCCTCATCTGATTTACTGTAGATTTAACAAAGAGCACTACATATGCGTTGTACTTACTGAGTTGTTTGTCCTCTCTATTCCTTTACAGGTACTACCCCCCTCCCGTCTCCAAATGTAGCCCCACACCCCATTACTTCAAGCAAGACAACTTCCTCATCCTTACCAGCATCAGCAGCACATTCTCAGAGCACTGCTCTGTCCATCCCTGCAACTGTACATTCTGCAGCAAACACTGCTGCACATCAGAACTCAGAGGCAGCCCCCAAAACCTCCAACAAAGCCTCTGCACTGGTCCAAGCTCTGCACAGAAATATGGATTTGAGTACAGATCCAGAACCGTCTGTTTCCTCTTCGAGCTTAGACTCTAAAATTCACAGCTTCCTGCAGGGAAACCCTGCATTCAGTGGCTTTGATCAGAGTTTTCCAACAAACCCATCTAGAGCAGGGGAGAGTTTTAGCCCAGTTACTGGTACAGAAAACCAGGAGGGAACCCCAGTCAGGGACGAGGGAGGAGGCACCCCGACTCAAGATGAGATGATGGATAAAACGGTGTCAGCTGCGTTGGCTACGAGCAAGAATCAGTCTTCTGTGGATGGAGCAGCCAAAACGGCTCCTGTAGCAGTTGAGAATAACATGCAGAGGAACCCCAACAATCCTCAACATCCAGCTTACCCGCTGCCAGAATTGGCCCAGAACGGCCAGGTCTTCCAGTCCTTCCCATTCGGGAAGCAGGAGATGTTAGAGAGCAGGCTTCCTGCAGCAGCTGAACATAATCAACATGTTGCCATGCATCCAGGAGGGCCTGCTTTTGGAGCGGCAGCTCAAAGCCGTTCCAGCATCTCACAGACAGTCGAAGGATTTCAGAGGGCAAACAACCAGAGTTGGTTTGGTGATGAACACCCAGAGAGGGGCCCTCAGCAGCCTAGCGGCTTCAACATGTTGATGCCAGGAGTGAGAGAGAATCGAACAGCAGGACTTTATCCCTACCAAACTGAGCAAAATCAGGAGCATCAGGAGTTTGTTTCCAAACAGGGTCCCTCTGTCAACTCTGCTTTCTTTGGAGGAGCTCTTCCTCCTGTCCCAAAAGTACCGCCCCCTCCTCCTAGCTTTGATCCCATGGTGACATCCCCAGGCGGTGGTCTGGTTAACCGCCCACAGCAGGAACCTGTACCCCACACGGCCGCTGGGGGGTGTATGGAGAGCAGAGGGGATAGCTTTTTCAGAGACCATGACCATCAGCATTCATCCATGCATCCAGACGATCTTTTCCATGACCCGCATCCACCTCCCCAACCAGAGGATATGCGTTTCCATGAAGATCCTGGACAATCTGATGGCCATTTCCTCCACGATGATTCATACTACCCAGCCGACGAGCCGTATTTCAGTCCTCCTCACCCTTATCCCAGAGGCCGTGGGCACATTCCTCCCCCACGCTCACCTTCAAGGGACCCTTATTTTGCCCAAGAACATCACAACCGCCCACTTCCACGTCAGTACGGCCCAAGGCGGCCGCCCCCTCCCCATCATGAAATGCGCCACCCTGGTCAGCGGCCCCCTCCGCCTCGGCAACCGCACTTGGCCCGCCATCCAAATCCAAGAGGCCCGCCTCGCCAGCCGTTCCCTCGTTTTAATGGCCCTGACCCGAGGTTTAGAGGCAAGCGGCCGGGGTGGCCAGGGCCGAGAGGAGACGGTCCTATGTTCCCTCCGAAGAGACCCTTCCCACCCCCACGGTACTGACGTCTCCATCTTGAGTTCAGGGGGGTGGGCGGGGTAAACGCTAGCTAATCGAGAGTGTTCAGATCCACACTCTTTAAAGCTGTGCAGATCCCTGATGGCATCAAAGGACGGTTAAACAGACAGAAGCTAACAAACAGAAGGAAAAACGGAGGAGAAGGAAAAACGGACAAGATCCCAGGAGGCTCCGAGAAGGCTGCAGAGGAAAGACAGAAGATTCAAGAAAATGAGAGGTGGATATATACATATATAAATATTTAAATATAATTCCCTTTTGTGTTGTTTTTCTTCAGTACGAGTTATTACGTTAAATGTTAAATTTGTAATGAAGCCTTAGTTAAATAAAGGTCAGATAGTTCAGGTGCCGTCAGTCAGCTGGAGGTTAACTCCTCGCAGACCACTCCTCATATTTCTGTCCCCCCAACTTCCATTACCATAGAAGACTTAGATGCTGCTATGTTTTTTTTTTCTCTAAATCAAGTTTCCTGTCCAGCCGTTCTAACTGCTACCCTTATAAATCAGAAGTTTACTTGTAGTTTCTTAAATGAAAAATCAGTTTAAATCCCCTTTGATCCTTTTCATAAAGCGTATTGGTTTTTCTTTTATTTTTGCAATTGTTCAAACCTGGGAATTCCCTATTTGTGAAGCCATGCTCACTCCACCAGTTTCTCTAGATGTCTTCAGTTTAATGTCCCATTTAATTTTTCGGCGCAACTCTAGAAAGGTGGAGGCGTCTGTTTTTTTTTTTTTTTTTTTTTTTTTTCTTGTTGTTTCTTCAGCATGCAGCACTATCAGCCCTGAGGAGTAAACATCTGCAGGAGGTGAAGACATGATCTTCAGTTTTATTTCATTGTACTGACCAATAAAATTATGAGTTTGAAAGCTGTGTCATTTCCTGTGTTTGAACATTTAACGATACATCACCGATGCGTTAAATTCTGATGCTTTAGCCATTTTAATAATCACATATTTATAACGGGGAAAAAAATATGACCAAATTCTCTTATGTAGTCATAATTCTTAATCCATTCCTTTTTAGATGTTCTCAATTGTTATTTTATACTCAGGAAATAAAGTTGTGCATAGTTGAAGTTATTAGCCCATCTGATACCTGAAGCACCTTCGTTTTTAATAAGTGTCCTGAATCCAGCCTGTTCTTGGGACCAGATTTAGCAAGCTCCCATAGAAATGAATAGCTTACTGTTGTGAAGTTTTATCTTTAAAATAAGCGTTATCTGTGTCCTAATACATACACATACATGCATACAGTAATAACTTTTTTCGATGGGGTTGTAGTTCTAGGAGGAAAGTTGGCCTTGATGGTTCTGTATCCCTTATTTTAAGGTAGGGGTACAAACAGGCAGTGGGAGGGGTCAGCAGCGGTAGATCTTGTCCAGTGTAACTGGAGTCCGTATCCAGCAGTGGTCTTTCTGTGGCGTGCAGCTCATGTACCGCATCATTGTGTTTTGGCACAGGAAGTTCTCCTTTGTGGTTCTGTAAAAGTTCACAGGGTACCAGTTTCAGCTTCCTGAGGAAGAAGAGTCTGTTAAACCTTCTTGACCAGGATTGAGGTGTTTGGGTTCAGGGTAGATCAGATGATGAAGGCCTGGAACTTGATTTTCTCACTACACTCTACTGCCTCTCTGACTTATCAGGAGTCCACAACAACTTTGATTTTGTCGTTATTTGGAACAAAAGTTATTGTCTGAACACCACTGAGTCAGGCTGTGGATCTCAGCTATAGTTCATCTCTGTATTGTCTGATTTAACCCAATATGGGTCTATTGAGGGGGGTTAGAGTAAAGATCATCAATGGGATGTCCCTGTTTGGATTTGATTTAGGATTCTTGACAATATCATGTCTAATTTTTCCCCCCTGGGCATGTTTCTTGACATGAAATACATTGTTTGAGGTTATTACTAATGATAAAGCTGTTACTTGCCTTATCTGACTAAGATGTTTTTAGCCTGCTTGGTCCTCCTGCAGGTCCCCTGGCATTATTCAGCTGGCTTTAAGCTGTCTGTCCTAAAGAAGCTTCTTTGCTGTCCCTATTGCCATCTATCCCAGTACAGAGCTATAATGATCATTGGCGTTGAGGTTAATGTTATCTTAATTAAATCATTTGTATCTTTGCAGTTCTGGGGTCTCAAAAGAACCCTCTCACTAGTTTTATTTGAATAGTTTTTTCTCCTGCTTCTGCCAGACTTGTTCTTTGCGTTGTGGCTATTATTTGTCAGTTCTTGACAACTAGGAACATTGTCATATTTTAGTATCATATTTTAGTATTCCTTTGTGAGCTAAAACTGTGCTAAGTTCAAATAAAAAAAGCTCAGATTTCTTTCTCCAAAAGTAAATGCTGCCACCTCTGTGCTTCAGGGTTATAATACTGAAGCCACTGATTTATTTTTTTATGAAGTAGTAACTGCTTTACTTGTGTGTAAATCATTTGTTCACATTTTTAAACTAGTAGTTTTACAAAAAGGCACTGAAAATTCCCTCCTATCAAAATAGCTTTAAAAAAAAGGGCTAAATTAAAATCTGGGGTAATAATTTTGTCCTTGGCTTTACACACAGTACTGCAAACAAATCTTAACATCCTTTATATGCATTTGTTCCTGCAGGAAGACCTTTATGTTTTTAAAGTGGACCTGATTATTATTTCTCCTGACTTTCTAGCGGCTTGTTAAAGTTTTTATTCTTCGGTTGACCATACGGAGACTTTCATGTTTGTTTGGCTCTGATCTATGAACCACCATGTTTAGGAGAATGTGGCTTTCTGGGCTATAGCTGCTTTTTATTTCCTTACATTTTTCTTTAAGCCTTGCAAAACTAATAGAATGATGGTTTGTTCATGTTAGATATCAAAGTTTTTAGCCTTCGTCTACAGAAAATGATATTTTCAGATATAATCTTTCTATTCCTTTAAACAGCCTGATCTCTAGTAATATATTGATTTAAAAAATCCAAAGTGGATAAAGCTGCTTTTTGCACTGGCTTTAGATTAGATTAGAGGTCGGATTAGAAAATGGTTAGCTGCCGTGTACACAATGCTTGAATTTAAATAACTGTTAACGTGGATTGTTCTTTTTAAGAATTTAAATGCCACATATGCATTCCTAAAAAAATAAAAAATAAACTTGAATTGGCATCCATATAGATACAGACTTACTGAAGTATGACTATTTTTAGGCAACTTATGAATCAGTGCCAAGAACCACTTGTCATAGAAACCCATTGAATACGTTTTTTCCATTTCCCCTGGATTCTTCCAAAAACATCTATTTAACAAAAAACTGAAAACAATTATTCTCACATCAATAAGATTATTCCTAGAGCCCCCCCCACACAAACCACCAGCATATGAGAAAGAAATTTGTGAAATTTGACACAAAAAAACACACCACTGGAAACAAAAAAAAAAAAAAAAAAAAAGCAACTTAGAGCAACTTGGAAATTAAGAAAAGTGGAAACACTTTGTTTAAATACTTCTTCAGTGCTTAAGTGCATTATTCCTGCAAAATAGAAAGTTTAAGCCTACTGGTTAATGGATTCTTAGCCATAAATGCACACCTCAGCATGTGTGCATTTTTAATCTTATTCGATTTAGGCACAAAAAATCACTTTCTGTTGAGCAAGAAGAGAGGTACTTGCCCCACTAGCCCTGTTTGATTGGAAGCAGTTTTATAAAAGTTTGTTTCTGCACATAAATCAAACAAAAGGTTAAATGAAGAAGAATAATTACAGAAAGAAAATAACCAAGATAGCTTTTTCAGGAGAGCCCATAATTATTTGAAAACAATTAAATCATACTTTGACCTTTTAAAACTACGTGGCCATTTATTTCAATTTGATCCCCATGGAGATGTAGTGATCAAATTTTCCTGTGACTTCTTTGAAATCTATAAATCTTATTTCAGGTTTTTAAATCTTTCTTATTTTTTTAAAGCTTTTTACCCAGATATAATAAATCTGTTTTTAAAATGATTATATGATGGATCCGGTTTTTACAAAATGGCTCAGTCAGATCTACTTTACCTACCTGATAAAACGAAATAAACAGCCCAATGTGAGCTAGTTAAAAGGTTCAAGCTAATACAATTTGTTTTGTTTTTTTAGAGTGCTATTTGCTTAACTGGGATAAGTAGAGTTGCATATTAATGAAAGCAGACTTTAGGTTTCAGCAGACCCTTCCTGGGATTATTTATATGATACAACTGCTTCTCTGCCATCAAATATCGTTTAAAAGAATTTAAACAATTAATTCTGATGCTGATGTATAACGTAGTTCTTGCATCTCAAAGTAAGATATCATGGTTTTTTTCCACCTTGAATTTTAACACCACTCTCTCCTCCCTCCTCATCCTTAGGGATCAAGAGCCACTTTGATGTGTCTGATGTGACGGGAGAGAAAAAACTACGCTGTGCCACATGTTAGCTGATGGAAGTGAGGAACTTCTTTGAATCCTGCTCCCGGTGATGATGGCTCTTCACGGTCTGTAATGAACACTGAGCACTGCAGCTGAGCCAGCTCCATGTTTCTACCCCATCTGACGCAGCATTGAGATTGGAAACATCCAGACACGTTGGGCAGGGAAGGTGTTGGAGCTGTGGATTTTAAAATTATTTATTCATTATTGATTTGAGGAGGTTAGGGTTTTCTGTGACTTTAGATTTTAGATTTCAAAGCCCATTTCTCCATCCTTTTTAATAGTTGACAGATTGAGTTTAAGCTGTATTTGATCCAATTATCAAAATTACCTTTATGATATTTACATCAGTCAGATTGCATTATTTGTTAAGAAAAAAAAACTAATGGAAGAAGTATTCAAGATGCTCAAACATAAAGTTTTGCAAAACTGGTGCATTATTACAAACTATAAGGGCAGGCATTCATGTTTGATTAAATAAGAGTGCTTATCTGGTGATTATGTTTTATAACCTTTTTTAAAAACCTTTTTCACGTCACTGAGCGTGTCCTGTTCTTCTCAAAGATGCTGTTTGGTTTCCAATGTTTTCTTAAAAAACAAAACCTTGAAGAATCACAGAACAGCAGGAAAACCACACTAAACACATACAAGTTCTTGGTTTTATGTAGGAGTGCTACACTGGAGCATTTTCACTTTTTTATGAAAACAACCTAAACATTGATTTTTTTTCTTTCCAATTCTCAATGATGTGAAACATTAATTGATTCACATTCATTCATGAAACACATTAAATCATTATAAAACAAAATTATGAATAACAAAATGAGAGCAAAAGTTCAAGACTCATGATTGCTTTTGAAAATCTCCATGTTTTGAAGATTGGGTTATATCTCTTTGATCTCTGTCATGTCTGGTGTGGAGCTCTTTGATGCACTGCAGTAGAGTCAGAAAGGCTGAGCCAAGTTTGTTTCATTCACATTATGGAAAGTTATTTTCATGCTGAGTTTAATTACAAATGTGTGACATCATCTTAAACACATTCATTAAACTGTATTAGCTATAACTATGACTTTATAAAGTACATTGCAAATGTGTGCTTATGCATGGCATGAGTTTCGATTCTCTTACATCTTAAACAGAACCACATTTTATGAAGTAATATGTTTTGTACATTTAAATATCCAATTTCATAAAACAGTTTAAAAGATTGAAAATGTACTTTTCATAAACTTCAATCTAAAAATAAAACAAGCCTTCCATCCAGATAATGCAACTTGTGGGTCCTATCTCCTTTTCCTAGCTTCTCTTCCTTCACCTTTCAGGAGGTCAACACAGTAAAAACACTGTTATTGGTAGAAAGGAACTCCACACTGCTGTGCTAAACATCTGTAAGGCTAACAACCTTTAGCCTTACAGATGTTAAAGAGCTGTGCTTGTACACTCTTTCATGGAAAGGATTATGGGCAACCATATACTGTATATATTGTATAACATTTTGTGTTTCCAAACTCCTCCATTTTTAGCTTTTCAATCAAGATAACTGCAGATTTTCAACGTGCCTTCCTCAAACAAGCGAACTAGTTGTTTAGACTGGTGTGCATCATCGTCCTCATATATTCATATCCTATGCTGTGTTAAAAGAGAGCGACATGCCAAGTATTGCCAGAAGAACACCTTACCCTCTATAAACATGGGGGTAGTAGCACCGTGCTGTGGGACCGGTTACATGGATACCTAACCCCATTGAAAGACTAACATTCTGGGCTCTTTACTGTTAAATATTGGTGGAAAGCCTTCATTTCTCAACCAGAACACTGAAAATATGTTAAGGATTGGTCTACCAGCATGATACAAGCACACAATGCAGCACTAGGAGAAAAAAGGAGTGCCTTAAGAAGAATCACATTAGGACTATGGAGCGGCCTGGCCTGTCCAAGCTCTTAGGGGAGGGATCATGAGCTTTGAGTTATCAAGTGGCATCTCAGAACCCCAGAAGAACTTTAGAACAGAATCGTGGCCAAAATACCTCCTGAGACTGAAAGACATGCCTTAGCACTGTGCTTTTCAATGAAGGTTTCTACAAGTTTTAAATGATGTTGGGTTTGGGGTCCAAATACTCATTTCACTCAATATTTCTGTGACATGCAAATCTTTGTCTTGACTGTTTCCTTTATGTCTATTTTAAAATAAAACTGATTTAAAATGCAACGCTGTTCTTTTGTTTTTGTGAGAGAACTTCCCAAATCATCAGCTGACAAAGTATTGTCAGTTTGTCCCTATAGGAAACATTATAGATTATTATTCAAATACTGAAAATGAAAAGTTTTTGTATTACAGTCACATCACAGAATGATTGATTCCAGAAAACAAAAGGCAAGCTTGTTTTTATAGCACATTTTCACAGCTTGATCATTCAAGGTGCTATACATGAAGAAAATTACACTGCAGTGGCATAAAGGTGATACAAATAATTAAAAAGAATAAAAATCAATAACATGATTGATGAAAATGAAAGGAAAGTTAGACGTAACTAATAATGTTTAGATAGCGCAGCTAAAGTCACTCTAAGGAAATATTTTTTTAATCTTTATTTAAAGCAGCCCATTTACCGTTTTCTGTAAGTGTCTTTCAGATTAGTGGAGAATAAAAATTAAAAGCTTCTCTATGTGTGGTTCTTGGTATGCATCGTAGATTTGAACCAGAAGAGCTGAGAGGTCTGACAGCAAGTCTGTAATGATTTTTTTTTTTTTGAGCAAAACCATTCAGCGATTTATAGATCAACAGAAGTATGTTAAAGTCTATTCTCTAAGTAAAGGGGAGCCAGTGTAGTCACTGAGGTAATGTGCTAATTTTCTGAATTTTATTGAGATTACACTGGCATCAACATCCTGGACCAACTACAACTGTCTGGTTGACTTTTTTCGGCAGACCTGAGAAGACGCTTGCAGTAATCAGTTCTACTAAAGATTATCACATGAATTAGTTTTTTAAGGTCCTGCTGAGACATTAGTCCTTAAATCCTAGAGATGTTGCAGAGTGGCGGCCTAGTGGTTAAACCATTGCACTTGGAATCCAGAGATTCTGAGTTCAAGCTCCCAGGGCGCTGCACAATGGCAGCCCACTGCCCCCCAAGGGGATGGGTTAAATGCAGAGAGTGAATTTTGTCGCTCTGTACTTGTGACTGTGTAATGACAATAAAAGATGAGAAAAAATGCTGGAAAAAATGTTTAGATGATGTAAAGTTGACCTAGTTACTGTCTTTAATTATTTAAAGGTTCAGTTCTGAACTACTAATTTCAAGCTTGATTTGTGGTTTCTTACAGTATTAACTGAATTGTGTGCTAACTTTTAAAGCTTCCTCCTTAAAGATATAGTGGAGGATTTTCGCAAATCTTAAAAAAAACAACAACTCTCCACTTAAAAAAAAATGCACATGCACAACACTATACCCGCTCCCGTGGGAACGCCTATTAGACGTGTGTGAGAGCATACACAAGCCCATTTGTCCTCCTGCAGGCTCTGTTTAAAAGTTGCTGTTTGCATTACTCATACAAGCTTACTTTACAAAACACGATTTGCAGTTTTTCACTATGTCAGACTCACCACCGGTAAGTACAAATGGGGAAGAGCACGTAGGACGGTCTTGCGTAAACATATCACCAGAATGATTGACAATGAGGAAGACCATTTTTTTTTATGATCCACCCAGAAAAAGAACATCCTCCACTTTCCCATTAATTCAAAAAGTTATTTCTTCCGTTTTATTTCTTTTAAGTTAAATATAAGTTTGGTACATCTCTATTGATTTTTTCCCCCCTCCGCATTTACCCAGTGCTTGAATGACTTCATAGTCACCTGGTGACATCATAATGTACAGCTGTCTGTCATCTGCATAGTTATGGTAACTCATGTTTATTACGATCTTAGGTAGAGGGATCATAGGATAGGAGGGGCCTAAGATGGACCCCTGAGGAACACCACTTGTGATATTTTTATGTTTCTGATGTAAAGTGACGACAATTACATGTTAAATCTTGAAGGAGCAGTAGAAATCCACATTACAACTATAGAGAAGTTGTGCACTCCCCAAATCTGACCTGTATAGAAAAGATGCACAATGCCAAAAAAATAAAAAAAAAAAATAAAAAAATCTAAATCTTAATAAGTCCTATTTTTCTAAGTGAATTTTTTCTTGAAGTGAGGAGGTAAGTGAGACTGTTTGCCAATTGAACAAGACAATTTACATTTAAAATAAGACAAAGCAACTGCTTTGTCTTATTTTAAGTGCATTTTATCTAATTATCTTATTTTAAGAGTAAAAACACTAATTCCATTGGAAATGTATCTAATTTACCTTCTCAAATTGAGGGCAAATATACTTCAATTAAGACATTTTGACTTATTTCTAGATTGTTTTTGTAGTGCAAGAACACGTCCTGTTTGTAGCCTGTTGCAAATCCTTTAGGGGAGGGAGGCAGAAAATAATAAATATCATCCATCCATCAAATTTCCATCATGCTTTATCCCAAGCGAGGGGTGCTGGTGCCCATCTCCAGCTGTCTACGGGCGAAAGGCAGGGTACACCCTGCACAGGTCGCCAGTCCATCGCAGAGCAATTTTTTGATTGATTTAAGTAAACAGTCATATGCTGAAACATTTTGAAATCTGGTGGTCTATTACATCAGATGCAAATAAAACCAAGCAAAGTATGTTGTGAAGTCCTGAAAAATGTGAAAAACTTAAGCATGTTTAGACATTTTTGTAAATTATTTTATCATAACTCTTTTAAAGTTGTCCTTATCAAAATATAAACCAAACGAAGACCGAAATATGATGTTGTGCAAGTTTTACCACAGCATGATCAGAAAAAATACCATTCTATGCAACGGAAAACACAAAAAACTAATTTTAATGTTCTTCATTACTACTAGAGAGCTTTAAAATAATCTGCACTAGTTTTATCCACGGTGAAAATCAAAGATCCACTCACAAAGCACCTGCTCACTCACTGTAGAGCTGCAACTAATTTTTTTTTTTTGCAAATCTGTTAATCTGTCAATTTTTGTTTTGATTAATAGTTGGATAGCAAAAGGTTCCTTAAAGAAGATTTTTTTCACAAAATTAAACCAGGTGAAACTCAAACTTTTACACTTAAGGAGTTCTAGATAAAGCTTTTGAAAGAAAAAAAACGTTTTTTAAAATCTTAAATGCAAAATGTTTATAATTACTGATCATTGTGAGTTGCTTCTGCTAAAGACATGTTTTACAGTCTCCACACTCCAGTTAACAAATTTTAATCGATTACTAAATTAGTTGACAATTATTTCAGTAATCGATTAATCACAATTTTATTTTTTCAGCCCTAGTTCACTCTTCCTACACTTCATATTAATATTAACAGGCCTTCTTCCTTCATCATGTGTGTTCCT